TTTGCTGGATTGGGTTGTCTCTCCCTGTTAACTGGTTTTTAGGCTTCTCCTGTCTTTTGCCCGTTCCATCCCTGGATATCCCTGTGGACTGAATTGGAGCATGGTTCAGGAGAGCATCCCTGGCATCTTGTGGTAATGTACCACTGACATCCACGTGGCTGTGAGGCTTCAGCAAACTCTGCAAGGGCCCAGTCCCTCTTCTGCTCCCAGTACCAACCCTTGTCCTTTGAAAGTCATCAACACGTTTCATCCCCCATCCTTCAGGCTCCCTTTTTCTCGTACATGGGGCCCTGCTGCTTCCTTGTTTGCTGCATCAGGCTGGGAATGGTGGGAGCAGTGCCCTGGAGTGACAGCCACCCACACTGACCCCAGGGACTGGAGCATAGTGCTGAGCTCATGTCAGCTGCTGTGCTTGGAGCCTGCTCTCTCCCTGCCACCTTGGGCAGGCACCCGGGAGCTTTTCCTTCCCACAGCCAGCCTGGGGGGCAGCAGGGACCAGGCAGCCTCGGGGTGTGGCTGGAAGGTCACTGCTGCCAGCAGCAGCAGGACTGGCACACGAGCTGTTCACAGCCCAGGCTCCTGGTGGGACAGGGCTATGGGGATGGCCACCACGGTCCCCATCAGCCACAGCATAGAATCGTGGACTCCTCTGGGTTGGAAGGACCCTTAAAGATTGTTTATCTCATCTCACTCCCTGCCATGGGCAGGGGCACCTTCCACTGTCTCAGGCTGCTCCAAGCCCCATTCAACCTGGCCTTGGACACTTCCAGGGATACAGGAGGAGCCACAGCTTCTTTGGGCAGCCTGTGCAGGGCCTCCCCACCTTCGTGGTAAAAAATTTCTTCCTTATGTCAGGCCTGGTGACCTGTTGGCAGGTCCCTGCCTGTTCAGATACCCACTGGGCTCAGGGTGGGCTCTGGGCTCTGTCATGGACACAGCAGCCCTGTCTGTCAGGGACTGCTTCCCAGCTGGAGATTCAGAGGGGCTACGACCTTCAACAAAATGCGCTTAAAATCAAGGAATTTCAACAATTATTAACTCTTATTACTAGGCCAGGATCTGCAGTGTTGCAAACGCTAACATTCAGAATATCCATAGACCACATTATAAACTACCTGGATTTGCTTATATTTGATGCTGAAGGGAAAAAATGAAGGTGTCTTATGCTCATCCATCCTCTGGATGATGGATGATAGAAAGCCACCTCTATTGCATTGGTTTCCTGAGACAGAATCATAGTTAGAATCACTAAGGTTGGAAAAAATATTTAAGATCATCAAATCCAACAATTAACCCAGCACTGCCAAGGCCACCACTAAACAATGTCCCTAAATGCTACATCCACATGGCTTTTCAATCCCTCAAGAGATGGTGCTTCCACCACTGCCCTGGGCAGCTGTGCCAGTGCCTGACCACCCTTGCAGGGATGAAATTTCCCCAATATCCAATCTAAACCTCCTCTGGCACAGCCTGAGGCCGTTTCCTCTTGCCCTGTCCGTGTTCCCTGAGAGCAGAGCCTGACCCCCCCAGTCATCCCTGGATCCCAGCTCCCTCTCCTGTCAGGGAGTTGTGCAGAGCCAGAAGGTCCCCCCGAGCCTCCTTTTCTCCAGGCTGAGCCTCCCCAACTCCCTCAGCTTCTCCTGGGGCTCCAGACCCTTCCTCATCTCCATTCCCTTCTCTGGACACTCTCCAGCCCCTCAAGGTTTTTCTTGTCATGAGAGGCCCAGAACTGACCAAGACAGATCTGACCAGCCCCAGCTCATCCTTCCACAGAACCTCAGCCTCTTCCATGAAGAGGGTGATGGAGTTTGCTGGTGTGTGGTTTTAGGGCACTGCAAACCTGATGTCCACATCACCTCCCCGCTGGTCACAAACACATCCCCCATGGCCAGAGAGTTGAACTGCTGGGGCAGGCAAAGCACCCGTCCCCTCCTTGCAAACTGTAGGACAATAATTAGCAACAAGAACCAATTGCGGCTGGGATAAATTTAGTTTGGCTGCACTGAGACTCTTCAGGCAGAGAAGGTGGGATCTCCTCCCACACCTCCCTGCAGGATGGGGCTTTGCCACGGGTGAGCTGGTGTTGGCTGGTCGGCCCCTGAGGGCAGGACATCTGTAGGTGTTGTTTTCAGCTATCAGTTGCTCCAGGGCAAAGTTTAGCTCTAGATAAATCAAGACCATTTCACTGAGTCCAGATGACTCATAACCACAGGGCAGGAAACTCTTTTATCTTGAGGGCAGCTGTTTTAATATACATAGATGTTCACTCCTGAGCCCTGAATAATTTCCATCTCTTTACTTCTCATTAACAGCAAATCAGAGGAGGGAAAACAGTGAGAAATTTCTCTGTCTCTGTTTCTGCCATCTCTGAGAGAGCTTCCTCCCAGCTGTGCAGTCTGCCTGCACTGGGTCATTTGCTGTGTATTTTAATTGGCAGAACAAAGAACTTTCTCTCCAAAGCACCACTCCATTTAAAAACCCTGATTCTGCAGGCACTAATGGAGCAGGGATCTGTTACAACAGGGTCTGCTTCAGCTTCCGTAGAGGGAAGAGCATTCTGTGTGGGAGAGCATTGTTGCCTCCTTTGAAGAAGGGGAGCCACAGTGGAATTTACACATCTTGTTGATGAGCCTGCTGAAAGAGCCACCTTCACCTCTGAGCAGCAGCTGGAGGTGGAGAGGAGAGAGAAGAACTTGGGCAGCAGGGAGCTCTTAAATACAAGAGAAAGGGCAAGGTTTTGCTGGAGAACCTCTCGAGTTAGTTCTCTATCCTAAATATGCCAGGCAGTGTTTTGCATCTCAGGCTTCGCCTGAGGGTCAGGACCTGCCTTCCTGACTCTTCCTGCCAGAACAGCTGCCTGCTCAGGCACAGGTGGCTTTTCTCTCAGCTCTGAGCACCCGGGACAACAAAGCTCTGCTGCTGTTCTGCCTCTGTGCCCTCTGGGATGCTGTCCCTGCCCTCTGCAGAAGGCTGTGTGTGAGTCTTTGGCATGAGGAGCTTTCAAGAGAGGCCGTGCCAGGAGCTGCAACCTGTCCATGATGACACGTGGTGTGCACAGGCTGAGGACTCAGTGTCCAGAGCCAGGCAGGTCTTGGAGAACGCAGGACTGGTGTTCCAGCCCTTCCTTGCATTGTGCACGTGTCTCAACATGGTGACGTGTTCCTGGGTGATAGTCCCTTCCTCCCCACCAGAACCAGGAGGATTCTGCTGCTCAAAACTCACCTACTTGCAACATGGCTACTCAGGGGTATTTTGCCACCTGAAGTGACAAAACACCTGCCTGCTTTTTCAAATGGGCCTTTGATTGGTGGGATTGGTGCTCAGTGTCTTATCCATGAAGCCCTGTGTTCAGATAATGTCCATTCCTGGAGCAACCCAGGGCAGCAACTTGACACCGTGGCTTGGGCCACACTGGACACCTCTAAATCCACAGGCTGAAGCTGGTGAGATGAATGATTGCTAGGAGCCAACCTCCACAGCATTTTCCACTCTTAAATTTCACAGTAATAAAAGGTAAAATCATTAGAATCCTTCTGCAGCCCACTGTGCCTCATCTGAAATGAGGAGGACAAAGAGCACAGAGTAAGGGGTTATTAATATCCTGTCTCACAGTGATGGCTTTATAAACATCCTTACCACAGGCACAGCCTTGCTGCAGTGTTTGTGCATGACCTTCAGGCACATGTCATGCTTTTATCACACCTGATATTTAACCAATAAAGCAAGGGGGGAAGACCTTGCCCCTAAATATCTGACTTTATACACAGGGGGATGGAGTCAAAACTGAGAGAAACTGTTAAGTATAGCCATGCTGAATTCTTCTTAGACCTGATGCTCCTCTCTGGGAACTGTGCCAGAGATCCAGCAAGAAGGGGATCAGATGTTTGACACAGTGAAAACCCCGCATGCCATAGGGGATGACTCATGGGCAAAAGCCCCACACAGTAACAGGGCCACACTCACACCAAAACAGGGGATTTTGACTGGTGGGATGAGATCTTGGTGGAGACAGGAAGGCCCTGGCTGCAGAGAGAGGGACAGCTCCCACCCTGGAGAGCCCCAGAAAAGACACTAGCTTTCCTTGTGACTTGTAGATACTGAAAATAAGAACTAAAATCATGTCCCAATGGCAGGGCATTGGAACTAGATGGTCTTCAAGGTCCCTTCCAACCCAAACCGGTCTGTGATGCTATAATCAGAGAGGAGAAAAGATTTTGTAGGTTAATGGATTAAGAAGGTAGGGAGCAGCTATGGAGCCTAGATTTCTTGGTGAGCAGAAGACTGGGGTCACTGGTCCCCATCAGGACCTGACATTGTCTGGATGCCCTTAGAAGTGGCCCTTAATGTTCCCTGCTCCCACTTCACTTCCAGAGAGTGCTATTTGCTGCAATAACAACTGAGAAAAGTCATGTACTCAGAAGGGCTGAGGGATGGTGGTAATTGCAGGACACGGGTTCCTGTGGAAGGGTGAGTGTGAAGAGGGTACATGAGGCTGTCCCAAGCCAACAGTGATGGACAGCACTCACCCAGCAAGGATCTGGGGGCTGCCAGGCCCTGCAGCCTGCACTGCTGAGGAGGCTGGGCATCCCTGGATGGGGCAGCCCATCTCTGTAAGAGCTGGATGGTGGAGACTGGGTGTGTGGAGATTGCCCTGGTGAGATGGATCCAGACTAGTTGTAGAGCTGAGCAGCCTGAGGTTGCTTTGGGCATCCCAGCTTGTGTCTAGAAGGAAATTACTTACCTGCAGGGATCATATGAGCCCTTTGACACCCCTGCAGGGCCAGCAGCGGTGGTGAGGAGAAGGAATAGATCTGCCTCAGCTGAAAACAGATGGGTGAGGGCATTGCTGGCACTGGCTATCACCTTGCAGCCACTCCCACTGCTACTGCCCAGGAGCACTCTGGCTCTTCTGATTCCTGTCTTGGTCCTGACAATACAGATGTGCCTCTGCCTTTCTGGCACGTCCTTCATGCCTCATTTCCCTCCTGGCTTTTTCCCAGGTCATCCTACCCTAAAATGACGCAGCAGATGCGGGACCTGCAGTTGGTGCAGGCCAGGAAGCCACCAGGCCCTTCCTCACCAAACGCAGCCAAGAGGCTTTACCGAAACCTGTCTGGGAAATTCCGCGTCAACTACACCTCCTTCGACGAGGGCAGCCTGGTGGGACGGGGAGAGAAGGAGAAGCTCCGCAAGTCTTACCTGGTCAGTGCCTGCTGGCTCCGTCCAGATGGGGACAGAGGGTCTGTGTGGGTTGAGGGTCCCTGTGTGGGTGGTGCTGGAATCTGGGTGGGAGCACAGGAGTGCGTTAAGCTGTAGCAAGTTCATTTGGAGCTGGTCCAGGTGTTTGCTTTGCATCATCCCGATGTGTCTGCAAAGAGCTGACGCTCCCAAGCCCTTGGAATGAGGATACCCTCTCCCTGATTAGGTTCATGGGGTGCTGGTGAGGGTCCGGGGTGTTTGGTGGGATGGAGGAGGCTGACTTGTGCTCAACCCAGCTGCATTTCTCCTTTCACCCAGTTCCAGAGCAATGCTGCCCTCTTTGAGGCTGTGGAGCTGCAGGATCTTGACAGGGTGCAGGAGATGCTGAAGCACTACAGCCCTGAGGAGCTGGACCTCAACACCCCAAACAGTGAGGGGCTCCTGCCCCTGGACATCGCCATCATGACCAACAACGCTCCTATTGCCAGGGCCCTGCTGCAGGCAGGAGCGAAGGAGAGCCCACACTGTGAGTTGGGACAGGAAGTTGTGCTGTGCCCATCACCTGGGTGTGGTGCAGTGGGGCAGCAGGGGTTTTGGATGGAGGTGGGGAGGCGATCACTGGGCTCTGGGAGACTGGTGCAGGCTGCAGCAGGGCTTGAGGGGAACCATGCACTCCAGTGGAGCCCAGGACCAGGACACGGAGGAGGGGATGGATTCTCAGGGTGGGGATTCATTGCCAACAGAGGCAGAGCTTGCCCTAATCACCTTCTCCTCCCTTTCCTTCTGGGCTCTGCGGCCATGGTCACCCTCCCACAGTTGTGAGCCTGGAAAGCCGCTCACTGCACCTGTCCACGCTGGTGCGGGAAGCGGAGCAGCGTGTCAACGAGCTGATGGCACAGGTGGTGAACGAGGCGCCCAACGCTGACTGCTCCGAGAAGGAGAAGCAGCTCAAGGCCTGGGAGTGGCGATTCCGGCTTTACAAACGCATGAAGGCAGGGTTTGAGCATGCCCGTGAGTGACCGCAGGAGGGCTGGGGGCTGGGAGGCTGTCCCTGCTCCGGGGGAAGGAGTGGGGCTGTGCGTGGCACCAGCACCCATCAGAGGGTCCCTGCACCCTGTGGCCAGGACTTGCAATATGGGTGCATGGAGGGGAGAACCTGTTTCATCAGGGAATATGTCCCTGTGGCCGGGGAAGGGCCCAAGAGGGACATGGGGAGGTTCAGAGCAACCGTCTTCACTGTAGCAGTCCCTGCAATGTCTGTCCCCAGGAGTGCCAGATGCCCCCAGCAGCGTCCACCTCTCTGTGGCCAGCAGCTCCTCATTGCAAGTGACCTTCTGGGAGCCCCTGAGTGTCAACTCAGCTGTTGTCACCAAGTACAAAGGTAAGGACCAGGATCCCTGCAGCAGGGCAGCATCACACAGCCACAGCACCCCTTGTACCCCATGTCAGCACAACAGAGCCGTGGGCAGTGCTGCCAAGCCTCAGTCAGGCCACTTTTATGCTGGAGCACAGAAGAAGCCAAGGCTGCTAGACTGCCTGGCCACCACTCAAATGCTCTGAGCTAGACCAAACATCATCCTGCACCAAGGCAAAAATTGGGGTGTCATTTGTTGACTGCCCCCTCATCCTGCACACTGAGAAGACTTTGTTGTCCTGCACCCCTCACCCACTTAAACCAGCTATTTTTGGCTTCTGGAAGAATTTCTTCCATTCCCCACTTCTGAGCCACCAATTAAAGGTGCTGACCCCATCTTCTGTGGCTTGGTGAGCACAGCAGCTCCCGATGACCTTGCCCCCACTATGAATCACCATTTCCCCTGCCTTCACTCCACTGCCTCCACCTCCTGTGCTGTCTGCAGTCCCCCTGGAGCTGCTGTCTGTGATGTGCTGCCCCAGCCCTGGTGGCCTGTCCCCACTGCAGGGTCTCATGGCACCTTGGGGTCTCTCTCCTTGCAGTGGAGTGGAGCTGCTCCCCCAGCTTCTCACCACTGCTGGGAGAAGCCGTGATCGACAAGCTGAAGGAGCTGCACTTCACCATCCAGGGGCTGGTGTCGGTGAGTGCCAGGAATGCCCATAGTGGGCAGGGCTCAATACGGAGAGTCCGCAGTTGGGAAAAGCTACAGGCCATAGTGCAGCCCATGGGGAGGGGATCAGGCACTAGCACAGGCTGCCCAGGGCAGTGGTGGCGTTACCATCCCTTGAAATGTTCAAAAGATGTGCATTTGGTACTTGGGGACATGATTTAGTGATGACCTTGGCAGTGGTTGGACTCAGTGATCTTAGACGCCTTTTCCAGCCTTAATGATTCTTTTTTTCTATGATTATTCTGAGCAGGAACAATGGGATTGTGCCACGCTGTGTGCCATGGGCACAGCCTGGGCAGAGCCAAGAGTGTGGGACTGGGAGAGGCATCTGTCTGTCCCTACACGGCCACAGCCACTGACAGGGGGGAACCTCCCTGACAGGGTGCCTGGGGACTCGGCAGTGACAGGCAGAATGGGCTCATTCACCCAACGCCTGATTTATCCTCCATCCCCCATCCCACTCCTATCTCCACCCAGGCTCTTCCTGGGCAATAAATCAGTGGCTCATCCCTCTGCCACCTGCACAGTCCAACCCCTCACCCCAGCGTCGATGTCACCGAGAGGGGGGACCAGCCCCATCTCCATCTTCGGCAGCTCGGCAAAGTCATAGTTGGTGGGACTGTGGCTCCCTGCTGGTTTATCTCCCTGAGAAGCACCAGAGCCATGCCTGGGCCAGCACTGGGGACATGGGACTGCAGAGGGATGGAGCTCAGGATGGGAACATGGGCAGATGCTGGGATAAATGGGTCACCCTTATCAGGGGTAGGCAGGCAGGGAGCACTGACTCGGGGAGCAGAGAACACCCTTGATGAGGTGAGAGGGGCTTAGGCACAGCAGCAATGCTGAGCCCAGGAGCGCTGTCAGGGCGGGACCTGCCCTCAGTGTGGCAGGAGGGGCTCGAGTGGAGCCCGGAGCAGCATCCCTGCAAACTGCTCCAAGCCCATCAATCACACTCTCAGAGCTGCTTCACAGGCTCCTGTCGCCTTCATGAGTGCCTGGAGGTTTGGCAACATCTGTCAGCTTGACTGAGCTTTAATCAGAGGCTTTAATCACTGTCACTGTGCTACAAGTCCTTGATAGTGCTGGACCACCTCCCTGTCTCCAGGGGATCACCAGCACCCCAATCCACAGAAGCACTGAGTCTTTCAGGCTGGAGCATCTCCCCAGTGCATTTGCAATGTCCAGTCCTTCCTCTGTGTGCCCCAAACCCGCCCAGCAGGGCCACAGGGATTCTCTAGTATCTCATAACAAGGACTCTGTATAGGAGGGAGGGTAAGAGCCAGTGACCCAGCCTATGGGCTCCTAGTTGAGTGCTCCTCATGGTGTACTGGAACAGTGGGCTGGGGGGAATCCTCCTTGCCTCACCTGCCAAGCCAGGAGAGGTGAGGATGTGTTGAGTGTGCTGTCTCCTTGCAGGGCACGGCGTACCACGTCCGCGTGTCTGCCTACAACATGAAGGGCTGGGGTCCCCCACAAGCCTCCACACCCCCTTTCGCCATCCCTTCCAGTGAGTACCCCCAGGACCACTCCCACAGCAGCCAGCCCAGGGCAGGTGGGGGATAAGCAGCTCCATCAAGGGGTCCCTCTCACTGCTGGGATGGGGATGAGCAGACCCAGGGGCAGAGGCAGAATTTGGAGTCTCAGGCCAGGCTGTGCCTGGGGGTCTAGGATGCTGCCTCCAGCCAACAGGTGCTTTGCCAAATAGTGATTTTTCACCCTTGAATTGTCCTTGCTGCCTGGGAAAGGCTGAGCCATTTCAGGCCACCTGGATCAGCTCATCCCACTGAGGAAACTGGGAGGTAGCTACGAGCCAGGACTCAGAGTGGTCCTGGGTGGCAGTGGCCTCCCACTCTGTGCCATCACATGGTCTCTTCCATCCAGCCCAGACCCAAGGACCTGAATTCCCTGGCATGGAGCTGGGATGGAGGTCACGAGCCTCAACATAGACCACCTCTGGGCTGTCAGCACTCTCCTCCCCATGCTGGCCCCAGGAAAAGTGTCAGGACACAGTCACCCAATGTCACACAAGGCACCCCGGGGTGCTGGGTGGAGAAGAACCAGGAGGACTGAGCTAGAAGGAGCAGCCCAAAGGGTGAAGCTCAGGACTATGGGGGCTCCAGAATGGCCTCTGCCACTTGTCACCAGTCCCAAAACAGGTGCCTGTGTGGTGTCCCATGGGATTGGTGCGGTGAATGACAAGGAGCAGTCCCATGGGAGGCTGAGCTTGTCCCAAGGATCAGGTCATGGAAGCACATCCTCTACCACCATTCTGCAGGCACCCAGGGAGCAAGGCTGCTGCTCCCAGGAGCAGTGAGGACATCGGGGACAGGTGGAGGTGATCAGTGATGGGTCAGAGATGTGCAGCACCATGCACAGCTCTGGTTGCAGATCCACAGAGCGCTGAAAACACCAAAAATCCATTTTCATGTCTAGGAATTCACATAGCAAGGGCACAGCCATCCACTCCCCTGGCTTTATCTTGTCCCTGTCATGTTTGCACCCACTTTAAAGCTCATTTGCCATCTCACCAGTCACATTCCCTGTGACCAAGATCCAGGTGGCATCAATTGAGTGTGGCTGAAGTGAATCAGACAGGAGTGGAGTTTATTTATTTTTATTGCCAGTAACATTTCTCCCTTCAGTTGAGATCCCTCCCTGGCCCAGCAGAATATAGTCAGGCACCTCCCTGGGTGTTTTTAAAGCTACTAAAAATAGCGGCAAGTTCTAGCCAAAGTTAACAGAGCTGAACTTTCCATGGAAAACAGCAGCGGGCAGGACACGGGGTGTTTAAAGCAATTAATATAAAGCTGAGGGAGAAGAGCTGCCAGGTCCCCAGCCCTGCTCATGGTTCTGCTGCCGTCCCACAGTGGGTGGAACTGCTGGGAGTTTATTTATGTGTTTGTCGAGGTAAGCCTAGCACCCAGCACTCATCTGGAGTAACTGGGGAAGACCTGGAGGAAGACACTGGAAAGAATTTTATTTTTTAAGGCCAGTGAAGTGCAGCAGCAACAGACAGAACCTTGTTCCTTCCCTCTGGTGTGTCCCTACCACGCTATGGGGAGGTCGGTGGTCACGAGGTGCTCTGCAGAGCTGGGTGTTCCTGGGAAGAGTGGCACAAAACCGGGCATCTCCCAGCACACCCAGAGGTGCCCAGCACCCACAGCTGCTGCCAGGCTGGGGCACGGGGGGGACACTCAGATGATGTGTGAGGAGGGGATGGGAGCCCCTAGTCCCCCAGGCAAAGGGGTGCAGGGTGATGCTGGTGTGTCCCCACAGACTGGCGGGAGTACGACGGCCGGGCGCCGCGGCGGAGGGGACAGGCTGAGGCTCTGGACCATCTGCTGGGCCAGGTGAAGACCGTCCACCAGCACTGCATTTGCCATGGTGAGCCCACAGCACAGTGCTCCAGGGGGGCTAGGTGGACGACAGCTGAGTTGCCCAGGGTTGTGGTGTGATGCACAGAGCTGGGATGGTGTGCAGGAACAGGGCTGTGCCATGGATGAGCAGAGCAGGGAGGCAGCTCAGGCAGCAGAGACCTCGGCAGAGCCTTCCCAATGGGTTGAAATCAGCTCTTCATCTCCTGCTGCAGCATCCTCTGCTCTCTGCTCCACAGAACCCTGCAAGAACCAGCCCCAGAGCAGAAAGCATTCGGTCTCCAAGAGCCTCAAGCACCTCTTCCACCCTGGCAGCAAGTTTCTCAAGACACTGAAGCGGTGAGAGGCTGGTGCACGGGGTTGGTGAGAACCCCTGTCCCAGCAGGGCCGCAGAGCTGCCCGTCCTGAAAACTGGAGGTGCACACTGGGGGCTGGGGGTGCTTAGAGCAGGGTCTGCACCGGGAGTGTGCTGGTGGTGTCAGTGGAGATGAGTCCCATCACCCTGAGATCAAAGGTTCTCTTGGTGTCTCCATTTGGACTGGCCAAGCTGTGCTGGTGCCCAGACCCCTGCATCACGTCTGAGGCTTACCTGGAACCCCATCCAGACCCAGAGTATCCCCTGCACAGTCTGCCCCATCTCTGTCCCATGTGCTGTAGGATGATGGGCCATGGTATCTGCTGGGACACCCTGGGTTCCTGTTCCTGCTTCCCGTACCAGCCACAGGCCTCCTTTGCAATGGGCTGTTGGAGACAAGTGGAGACCTGGGGCAGGGCATCTCATCTTCCCTCAGGAAAGAGACCCTTTGGGAGATGGAGCTGGCAGCTGGGAGTGACACTGAAGTCTGTTTTCCCTCCCATGCAGGGGCCTCTACCTGACAGCCATCTTCTACAAGGATGACAACATCCTGGTGACCCATGAAGACCAGATCCCTGTAGTGGAGATTGATGACACCTACTCCTGCCTGCTCATGCAGGATTTCCTCTGGCTTACCAAGGTGGGTGGCTGAGGGACCGTGGGCTTGGGCAGAGAGCCAGGAGTGTCAGGGTGACCCAGGCAGGCATCAGGCAACACCTCCGCCCCTCCAGCCCAGACACTGGGGCTTGGCAGTGCAGGCAGCCCATGGAGTTGCTGCTTGCTGGGGTTCAGCATGGACCAGGAAACTTCCAGGGAATGGCATTTCGTCCCAACCCCTGGAAGCCCAAAGATGTGACAGACCAGTGCCACACTGGGCAGGCTGTGTGCCAGGGCTGGTGGGCACTGCCTCTCCACAGGGATGTCAGTGGCTGTTGAACTGCTTCCCCTCAGCATCCTGCCATGGCACCTCTGCCTCTGCTGTGGGATGCACAGGGAGGTGCCCCTGGCTCCTCCAATGTCAGCAGACTTAGGGAAAGGGCAGGTGGGCAGCTCAGGGCCAAAATCATTTGCTGGACGGTGCTTATCTACTGATGGAGAGTGCTTTCTTCTCCCTCCCCACCTTGGCGAACTTGTATTCAAACTTGAGGTTTCAGTCCTAGATGAAGATGGATGTCTGAATGGACAGGGCTCAGGGCTGCCCTCCGGTACAGACTCTGGGGGCATCTCAGTACCTGTGGCACGGGGATTTATTTGCACCCTGCTGACAGGTGCTGCATGCCCATGCATGACCCTAACCCAACTCAGAGAGGCAATTTCCCCAAAACCCCCTCGTGTGACCCAGCTGCAGCAGCAGTGACACTCTCTGGTGTGTGCAGGTGTCATGTATGTGGGACGAGATCCTGTGGCTGCGGCAGTGTGTCACTGTGTCCCAGTCCTCCTGCTCCTGCATCCTGCAGACACGCTTCAAGATGCTGCTGGCCATCTCGCAGATGCAGGTGAGAGTCAGCCTGGGATGGGAGCAAACACCTTAAGTGGGATGCTGGAGACTTAGCTGCCGTGGGAGCAGCATGCAGATGTACCACAGTCAGGATAAACCCAGGATCTGCTGGCCATGACTGTGTGTTCCTGCCTCATCCTCCCTGGCAGGACTCTGGCCGTGGGACAGCAAGGTGCCAGGTGTCATGGCAGTCTCATGCAGAGGGGCTGGGAACCATCAGGGTGCTTTTCTGGGCAGACTGGTTTCCAGCAGGCAGCTGCAGGCACATCCCAGCTGCCCAGACCCACCGTGCCTCCAGGATATCCCCTGACCCTCTGCTTTCTCCTGCCTTCTCACCCTGTCGCACAGGGGCTGCTGGGCATCCAGGACCTGGGGCAGGTCTTCTTCGAGCCCATCAAAGACAAACAGGGCAACATCCTCATTGTCACCCTGAAGGAGGTGAAGACCAATCAGACTTTTGAGAGCGTCCGCTGGGCCCCCATCTGCAAGCTGCAGAGCAGCCGCAAGTCCGTGTCCTCCCCAGAGGAGCCCAGTGCTCTGGACATGCTGCTCATCTCCGTCCAGGTCTGTGCTGGGGCTCTTGGGCCAGGGATTGCAACTGGGCTCCCCTGGGAAACACCAGTGCTCCCTGCTCCCCCTCAGCCTGGAAAGGTCACAGCAGAGGGGGAGCAGAGCCCAGCCAGCCTCCAAAAATCCTGTTGTTTCAAGGGGAGGCATCAATTTGGTGCCAGATTCACCTTGGCAGCACCGGTTGTCTTCCTGTGCCACTCCCCTTCTCCAGCTGGACTGGCTGTGCTAGGGCATCAGCACGGGTCCCACTGTGAGGACTTGCTCAGTCCAGCAGTGCCTTTGTTCCCAGGACAAGCTGGCTTATCACCAGCGGAGCAGCCATGCCCTCTCCCCGGGCCTCTACCTGGGCTACTTGAAGTTGTGCAGTGCCGTGGATCAGATCCGAGTGCTGGTGCCAGAGCAGCTCCCCAACATCCTGTGCCACGTCAAGATTCGCTCCAACCCCAACATCTCCAGGTGGGATTTGCAGGGCTGCTCAGCCAGGGCAGCCAGGCTGCTTTGTCCCACCCAGGCTAACAGCCTCAATCACCTCCTGATTCAGCAGCAGCATAATATTCCCTCTTATCCCTGCCATGCAGCACTCTCAGGCACAGGGTGGGATTGTTGGGGTGTCCTGTGTGGGGTCAGGGCTGAACTTGACAATCCTTGTGGGTCCCATCCAGCTCAGCATATTCTGTGATTCTGATTCATCCTAGAGCAAACCAATTTCCCTCTCTACCTCCACCTCTCCCACATCTCCGGGGATGCTGCACTGTCTGGGAGAGGAACAGCCAAGCAAACACAGCTCTCAGAGTAATTGTGTCCACCTGAGCTGCTCCCTCCTTTACCTGTCTGTCTCTGGCCTTCTGCAGGGAGGAGTGGGAGTGGCTGCAGAAGACGGCCAGCGTGGAGGAGCATGTTCCCACAGAGACAGATGCTGACAGGTCCCAGAACCCCTTGTTTCAGGAGCTCCAAGTGGCCATCAAGGAGCTGATGACCCTGGTGAACATCCCATTGCAGGAGGTAGAGGCAGGAGCCAAGGTCTGGGGCAGAGGAAGGGGACGGGGCTGTGAGCACAGTGCTGGTGGTTGCAGCAGGTGGGGAACTACATGTCTGGCCCTCCTTGTGGGGCTGGAGCACCCAGATTTTAGTGCTGTGCAAACAAAAGGTGAGTGGTGAGTCTGCCTGCCCAAGGGACAGTGTCCACAGGAGCTGTTTGTCCTTCCCACACTGTACCCCCAAAGCAACAACAGCAAATCTGGGTTTGTTACTGCTGCCAGTAATTTGGTCCTGGGCAGCACAAGACCAGCTCAACTCTGCCCCTCCAAAGCAGGCTGGTCCCTGGCCAGTGCTGGGCTGGAGCTGCAGCCTCTGGGGCCTGACTGCATGGAGAGAAACCTTCTTCCACCAAGCCAAGTATCTGCTGGGAAGCAACCCACCAGCCCCAGTCACAGGCATGTGCTTCTGGCTGGGCGGCTGGGAGGGTACCTCTCTACACATTGCTGAGCCATCACTGGTGGCACGTTTTTGACACCCTGCCATGGTGACTTTGACCAGATGTTTCGAGACTTTTAGGAAAAATTAGAGAAGAGGTGATGAGATGATGCAGATGATACCAGAAGCAAGGAGCCTGTGGTTGTGTGCTGAAGCTGCAGTGTCCCCTGGTTGCAGGTGGTCTCTGAGGACTGCTCTGTGCACGAGGGCTGGGCAGAGGCCCCACCAGGTCATGTGTGCAGCTGTTACCTGCACTATCTTCTTGCAGGCCAAAGACTTCCGTCTGTACAGCCAAGAGGTGCTGGACTTTGGGGATCAGGTCTCCTTCCTGCTGCTGCTGCCTCCATCAGACGACGTCTGCACTGCTCCAGGCCAGAACAACCCCTACACCCCTCGCTCTGGCTTCCTCACACTGCCACTGCAAATCTTCGAGCTGGGTGAGAAGAGGCAATGCCAAAACCCAACCCTGCTGATCCCCTTGTCCTCTGAGGCCTCCTGAGATCTGGGCTGAGCAGTGGGGTGGCTTGAGTTCCCTCACTCCCTGGAGGGTGGGATGGAGGGTTGTAGTGAGGGCTGTCCGGGTGGACTAACGGATAGTGTTGCCTCCTCATCTTGGGTAATAGGAAGGAGCTTGTATGGCATCCACAGCACGGGACCTCGTTTTTCATCCCTCTCTTGTTTCCTCTCCCAGTTCACTTCTTCACGTACGACCGGGAATTCATCATGCAGTACTGCCAGGTGTCTGCCCTGCTGGAGCTGGAGTCTCTCCTCTCCCAGCAGAGCCTCAGGGAGGCTTTCTCCGATGCCGAGCTCTCCACCGCCAAGCAGAGGCACCAGCAGGTTCAGGACTACATCCAGGTATGGGGTGGGAGCCAGGCTCGACAGTGCCCCTGACCTGCCAGGACTCAGGCAGCAGCATCTGCACCAGGGGTGTTCCCTGGTGTTGGTGGCCCTTGGTGGGCAGCAGCAGGCTGATCTTTCGCAGATTCATGGAATGATTGGGGTTGAAACAGACATTAAACCTCATCCAGTTCCACCTTCCCCTATCCCAGATGGCTCAAAGCCATGTCCAACCTGGCCTTGGACGCTGCCAGGGATCCAGGGACAGCCACAGCTTCTCTGGGCACCCTGTGCCAGGGCCTCCTCACCTTCCAAGGGAACAGTTCCTTCCTAATATCCCATCTAACCCTGCCCTCTGGAAGTAAGAATCCTGTCACCCTTGTCCTGTCCATCCCAGCTCTTGTCCCATCACTCCAGGCCCTTGTCCCAAGTCCCTCTTCATCTTTCTTGGAGTCCTTTTAGGCACTGGAAGGGGCTCTGAGGTCTCTCTGGAGCATTTTCTTCTCCAGGACACAGTTGCTTTATCAAGCAAGTTCTTACTGCAATGATCGCATTAAAAATCCCAAGAAGACACCCAAAGGCTTCTGCAGTGCATGTGCCGTCTTAGCTAGAAAAGGGCCTGCAAGTGCATTTTGGGATGGACTTGCAAAAGAGCTTCCCACGCTGCCCCTGTCCTCAGCACCCGTGCTGAACCAGCAACTGCATCCTCCTCCTACCTGAGAGCACTTTCTGTGCATTTCCCAGTTCAGGGATTCCCCCCAAGCTCTGGGGAGAGCTGTGTGTACAGACTCCGTGTTTTGCCATGGGATTTCCTTGTTGCTGTCCTTTGCTGTGTGAAAGGGCTCCTCCATTTCCTCTGTTGGCAGCAAATGGAGGAGATCTGGCGAGAGATGCGCTGGATCATGGATGTCCTGCAGCACGCCCGCTACAAGCAGCCATCCTGTGGGGTCTCTCTCAGTGGCTTCCTCAGCGAGGCCGGGGGGCCAATGAAGGAGGAAACCCAATCCTCCTCGTCCCACCTTGACTACCTTCCGTCCCCAGTGCCCTCACCAGAGACCAGCCGCAAGCTCAACTCTGGTAAGGACCCGGCTGTGCCAAGCTCCTGCTCGGTGGGCTCGGGGGCTGCCCGTTCCCGGTGGGTCAGAGATGGCTGTGCCAGAGGTGCGGCCAGGGCTGGGGCCGGGAGGATAGGCAGGGCAGTCGGACTCAGCCGGGGCAGGACCTGTTCTGCCTGTGCCGTAGAGAGCGCAGCACAGGTGTGTGACAAGGGGCTAAGGGGCTAAGCTTCAGAGGCTTCCTTGGATTCCACCTCAGCGAGGGTCGTCCACACTCAGGCTAAGCCCCTCTCTGCTTCTCTCACCCCTCGCAGACTCGCACGGGCTGTCAGATGAGGAAGGCTCCTCGGAGGTGTTCCTGGCCACCGACAGTGACTATGACTCCAGCCGGGCGCAGAGCCCGAAGGAGCTCGACCTGGTGTACTCCTCCTCGGGGCCCGAGTGCTGCAGCCGGAGGGTGGCCCGCACCTTGCGGGACAGTGCCCCAGATGTCCTGCAGAGCCACGAGCTCAAGACCCTATCGGCAGTGCCGCCACCGCCCGGGGAGCCGCAGCCACCGCCCGCACTCTATGACAGTGACTTCGTTCTACCCAGCCGGCAGATCGAGCTGCTGCGCATCACGGAGAAGCGACAGGCGTACTGCGTGCGCACCAGCAGCCTGGACTTCCCCAAGCCCCACTGCCCCGCCCCGAGAAAGTCCTGCCCCGGATCCGTGGACAGCTCCCCGACCGAGCGCAGGACCACGGGCCACTGCAGCCAGCTCAGGCTGGGGACTGGCTCGACAGCCAGCCCCGAGCACCACCTGGGCGGGCAGGGCTCCGAGCCCGTCTGCCAGACGCGCTCAGATGAGTGGACTCAGAACTTGGCGGAGCAGCAGCCAGAGCAGCCCGGGGGTTTGACCGACCAAGGGAAGAAGCTGGGCTCTGTCACCTTGAGGGTCTGTCCTCAGTATGAAACGGGACTCTCCAAAGAGACCAGTGTCAAGGTACCAGAGCCTGTAACAGGTGGCAGAGTGGCTGTGCCGTGCCCAGAGGGACAGGGCTGGCAGGATGGGGACAGAGGCAGCAGGGCTCATGTGCCCCATATCTGGCACTGCCCTCCCCATCCTCCACCGTCCCAGGGGTGAGGTCGCCTGGAGGCCCACAGCACTCCTGCCCTGAGTCCCTCTGTCCCTGCTATAGTAATGAGGCTCCTGGTAGGACAGGGTATTTCTGCAGGAGCGATGGCTACTGCTGCAGAAGGAGTGAGCCAGGGCCACATTCAGTGAATTCTGGGGACAAGGTGGTGGGGCTGAAGTTCAGCTCTTGGTCTGTGGTTCAGCAGGTGACGGTAGGTTGCTGCCACCCAGTGTGGGCAGGCAGAGCAAAGGACACATTGTCACGTCCTTGCCACGTCCTTGCCATATCCTGGTGTTCAAACACATCATCCTTCCAGGCCAAAATTCAGCCATCACCCCTGCTATGGCTGTGCTCCTCCTACAGCTTCCCCTTCCCAGGTGTTTGATCTCTGCTCCAGCCTTCACATTATGGAAGGGAGAGCAGGAGCCTTTTTTCTGCAGCTTGTGGCAACTCCAGTGGCAGAGCCCACTCCAGTTCCACCTGGGGCAACAGGCAGAGCTCCTTCCATGCTCCTTCAGACTATGCTGGAGCAGATATGTGACCTGACTCCTCTCCATGAGGGCTTTGCTGCCAAGAGCTGATCCCCCCAGCTCTGATCATTCACACCTGCTCCAGGTGGGATCCTCCACAGAGGACATACCCCAGGACACACATCTTGGGCAGGTCCCCCTCTGGCTTTGTGGCCTTCTTTGGTCCCAGCCATGGAGATCATTCCCATGTTGAAATTTCCCTTCCAAGACATTCCTGGTGCCCAGGATTGAGGATGATGGAGCAGAAAATCATTAAATCATGGACTGGTTTGGGTTGAAAGCGACCCTAAGGGAATGGCAGAGGAAGAACAGAGCCAACAGGCTGATTGGTTTATTGCTGGGGAGGTTTGATAGCCAGTGTCTCTGCACCCAGCCAGGACATCCTAGCAGAGACAACTCTGCCTGTCCAGATTATTTTCCATTTGAGGAATGTCCATAGATTTCTATGGAACTGAGATGCAGCACTTGGGTTCTTGGCGGGCTGCCCATGTGGCTTTTGAAGTTGCAAAGCTCTGGACACGCCTGCTTGAAAGCGTTTTATGATGTTCTCCTTGAAGAAAGGCGAGTTCAAAGGCACGGCTCCTCGGCTGGTGTAAATCAGCTGAGCCCTGCCACGGCTGTTCAGGGCTGGCAGTGCTCACGTGGGCCCAGGGCTGGGACCGCCCTGCTGGGGCAGCACTCCTGGCACTCCACAAGCCCTCAAAGATGTGCCAAAGGAAACGTTGCCTTGCCTGGGCGAGGATGGATGTCCTGCCTTTGGGTTTTTGAAGCCAAGCAGCATTAGTCCTGTTGTTAGCAGACAGGCCCCTGATGAGCTCATTTTCTTGATTTGAGATTCACAGGGCTGTCCCCAGGGGAGCAGAGGGCCAGGGTAGCTGTTGGTGGGAGAACCCCAAGCTTGTGCGTGGGATGAAATTTAGCGCCATGTTCCAAAGAGCTTTTAGTTGTAGTTTGGCAGAGCTGTTGTGATCCAGCTGGTCTGAGGGTGTGGGCTCCACTCACAGGAAGGACTTCACACACATCCCTCCATGGTACCAGGAGCAGGACAAGGACTGTCTGTCTCCAGCTACATGTGATGAGATGGTGGGGCAGCCTCAGCAGAGCTGTAGGTGGCACTTACAAGGGTTGACTGGCAAGGGCTTGGAGAGAGGAGTGGAGGCAGGAAAGCAGTCCATCAGTTTGAGCCCTGGCATGCTGGGTCACCCCTTGGGCATTCCCTGGGCACGGTGTGCCCATGGCTCTGTGCCAGGCTGCTGCCACCTGCTCACAGGCACCACTGGGGCAGCCGTTTCTCCACCCTCACCATTCCTCCCTGCCATATGCTACCTCTGGACCTGTTCCTCCTCATTCCTCCCCTTTACCATCCATCTCTCCCACCTCTCTCTCTCCACAGCTGCACATCACCAGCCAGACGCCTGCCAGGGAGGTGGTGAAGTTGGTGGTGCTGGAGATGAACGACGTCTCTCAGGACGTGCTGGGCGGCTCGGCCGCCGTCTGCTATGGCGAGGAGCAGCTGGAGCACTTCGGACTGGTGTTTGCTGCTGACGAGAGCGAGCAGTGGCTCCCCGATGACTTCTTGCCTCTGTCCCTCCACACCAGCCAGCCCGAGGGGCGGTTCTACGTGCGCATCAAGGAGACCTCCCCTCTGGTGCTCCAGTATGGGCCAGCGACCACCGTATGAGAGGAGCGGAGACCTCGGCTTCCAGAGAGCAGACAGCTCGTCTCTGATGCTTCCTTCTTCCACAGACACCCTCTCATCAGGCGTCCGTGGGGTGGAATGGGATCATATTGGGTTGTGTGTTATTTGTTTGTGCTATTTTTTTAGATTTTTTTTTTTAACCAAAGAGACATCGAGACTCAGTTTTTCTGACTGGAGAAGAGGAGGGTGGAGTCCAGAGACCTCAGAGCACAGGAGAAATCTCTGCAGGAATGGAATTTTTGAAAGTAAACATTTTTAAGGAGGAAGAGAGGGGAGAGAGAGAGAGGAAAAATATTACAAGAAGAAGCAGCAATACTTTTTTTTTTTCCCCTTCCTTTTTTTTTTTTTGGAAAAGCTTTGTTTGGGATTCACTGAAGGCAAAGCCTCAGAGGATTGCTGGGGAGGGCTGTGGTGTCAGTGAGGAGAGGGCAAGAGCCACAAGGACAACCCTGGGAAGGGTGTTTTCCTATCTGCCCTCCTTTCACTGCACCTGGAGAAATGATTCTTGCAAACAGTTTGTGGAACAAAATTATATTAGTATTTTTATTCTGAAAAAAAGTCAATAATCGTTGTGCCAGAGCCACTGGAGCTGGCTAAAGATGAAGACCCTTTGACTTGTGTCCAAGACTAAAGGAACCCATGCAGCCAGCCCCCTGCACTTGCAGATGTGTCAGTACAACGCTAGAGATT